GCACGCCCAGGTGCCCGGGTGCCCGGGGTTGCCCGGGTACCCGGGTGCCCGGGCGTGCCCGGGGGTGCCCCGGGGCCCTATAGCCCTATAGCTGTATAGCCCTATATATAGCCCTCTAGCCCTATAGCTCTATAGCCCCATAGCTCAATAGCCCTATAGCCCCCTAGCCCTATAGCCCTGATTGGGGTTTTTCTCCGGTATCATTTACTACAATACCTGCGTGTACTACAGCGCCTGTGTACACCACGGTGCCTCGGTTCACCCTAGCACCTGCGCGAACCATGGCGCCACATCGGCTGTGTACACCTTAGCGCCTGTGCAATTTAACACTCGCGTGCGCAATAGTGCCATTGCACACCATAGTACCTGCGTGCACTGGACGTTGTTGTGAACCACGGCGCCTGCGCACATCACACTAGCCGTGTACACTACACCGCGGCCGTACATCACAGCGCCTGCGTGCACCAGAGCGCTTGTGTACTTCACAGCACAGCGCGAAGAAGACGAGAACGACGAGAGGAGGAACGCTACGACGACGACGGCGTCGACAACGACAACGGCGACTACGACAACGACGACGACGACGCCGAGGACGACGATGACGACAATGCCTGTGCATCTTCGGGAGCCTCCGAGGCGCGTTGGTCGTCGTCGTCGTCCTCCTCCTCCTCCTCCTCATTCTCCTCCTCCCAATGGGGATGCCTAATCCGATGGAAGCTGCAAAGACTCACGCCCATGGCCGGCTCCCAAGCGCTACCATTACGGGAAGAGGGGAGGTGGTAACACGTGTTACCCCGGAGCCTATGCAAGAATAATCTACATGTCGGCGCTGCACGGCCAGGGCAGGGGTGCCAGCGACTAAGCAGAAAGGCTGCTGCAGGACAGGAACAGATGAGGACGCGATGAGAGAGGCCAGAAGGGAATGATGGAGAAGGATTTGTGTGTAGTAATGTACTATAGCACCCCGTAGATGCGGGTAAGAGTGAGGGGGCGGTCAGGACGTCGGTAGTTTGCGACTCTGGAGAAGCACGCCGCAGGCGCCAAAGTTTCACAAATTATACAACGAGCCCGCCGCAGGCGCCGATTTTTTCGTTAAACCAATGTGGGTAGGTCGCGGGTGGGTCGCAAATGGGTCGCCCATAATAATCACCCCGACAAGCCGTTGAGTAAACGCACACAGGGAATGAATCGCACATAACAAGGCTGTTTAGTCAACGCCCAGGGCCGTGTTAATAAACGTCAATTGTCGGGTCCGGGTGGTTTTTCTTGTCTTGAGGGTGGGTCGCGGTGTGGGTCGCGGGTGGGTCGCGGGGTGGAACGCGGGTGGGTCGGGGATGGGTCGCGGATGTGTCGCGGGGTGGGTCGCGGGTGGGTCGCGGGGTGGGTCGCGGGTGGGTCGCGGGGTGGGTCGCGGGGTGGGTCGCGGGGTGGGTCTCGGGGTGGGTCGCGGGTGGGTCGCGGGTGGGTCGCGGGGTGGGTCGCGGGGTGGGTCGTGGGGTGGGTCGCGGGGTGGGTCGCGGGGTGGGTCGCGGGTGGGCTTCGGGTGGGACGACGACAACAAACAACAACAACAACAACAACAACAACAACAGCAACAACAACAACAACAATTACTAGCACGTGGGGACACTCCGTTCTCACCAGTGCCAGGGTTTTCATAGGAGGCGGGCAATACCCCCACTTTGTGGGGGGGCCGGTTCAAGCTCTACCAAATTTCCAAACGACTCTTCGCCACCACCCACACCCAGCTTCCCGCCCTATGACGTTCGGACACTTCACTTCGTGGCATGCGGACGACCGTGGCTACTATTCAGGGCCCCGCGGCCGACGACGACGGCGTGCGCGCGCGAAGAAAAAACGAATGTGTCCCGCATGGTATTATTTGACAGGGATGATGGCCCTGGCAGGTGCGCAACCGTTGTCGCAGAAGTTCGAAAAAGTTGCTCGCAAAAGCCCGTTTGACAGAAATGTTTAAAAAGTGTTGGGTTTCCTACGAATCCGCAAGAGCGCGCGGGATGAGATTTTGACAATTTTTTGTTGAAAAACCATTGGTTTTTTGATGTTTTTATGTTAAAATCGCTGCGAACACTAAGGTTTTGGAAGGATTTCGTCTTGCGCGCGCGAATGTCCACTTTACCTTATTTTTTGCAAGGGATTCTTGAAATTTGATTATATTAGAACAAGAAATGTCATTTTCTATTGTTTTTTGCAAGGGAAAGCGGATTACAACAAAACAACCGGATCCTGTACACACCCTCTTTTCTGAGGCTTCCTCACGAAAATGATGAAAATGTAGCTGCGGCCTAGGCGGCGCAGGGGGGGCGCGCACCAGGGGGCCCAACAATAATTATTCTTTAGAATAAATAATGTTCAACAACAACAACAACAGCAGCAGCAGCAGCAGCAGCAGCAACAGCAACAGCAACAGCAAGCAACAGCAACAGCAACAGCAACAGCAACAGCAACAGCAACAGCAACAGCAACAGCAACAGCAACAGCAACAGCAACAGCAACAGCAACAGCAACAGCAACAGCAACAGCAACAGCAACAGCAACAGCAACAGCAACAGCAACAACAACAACAACAACAGCAACAACAACAACAACAACAACAACAACGCAACAAGCAGAATTCCCACCACGAATTCCTTATTCAGCCACACACCCAGGGACAATGAATGACCATGCAGCCCGCTCACTCTGATATGCGCAGACATGCATTGTGAAGAAAGGGAGAGCGAGAGAGAGAGAGAGAGAGAGACACAGAGAGAGAGAGTATATATATATATATATATAAGACAGAGAGAGAGGGAGAGAGAGAGAGGGGGAGAGAGAGAAAGAAAGAGAGAGAGAGAGAGACAGAACGACAAAACATAGAGACAGAGAAGCATGGATACATCCGCCACTTTGCCTTCAGCAAGTGTGGCTCCTTGAAAGACCCATTCAAGGGATTGCAACATTATCCAGGGTCCGACCATCAATTTCCCAGAACTCTCGGGCTTGCCCAGGGTGTGTCGCGTGAGTCCTCTGGACGCTGAGGGCACCCGAAACGACCGTATGGTGTAATCATTAACAGTCCCCCAGGAAGCACCGTACTCCGCTGGAATACCCAAGGGCGCATCATAGTGGCGACAGCTGCACGCCTGAAATACCCAGAGGCGGGCCTGCCTGGATCTGCGAACCCCCGCACTCCGCTTGCCTTCCCAGGAGCGCAACGAAGTGGCGACTGCTGCAAGCCTGGCAACATCCAGGAGAGCGAGAACAGCGACAAAGAGGGACAAAGAGAGAGAGAGGGAACAAAAAGGACGACACACACATACATACATACATACATGCATACATACATACCTACCTACCTACCTACATACATACATACATACATACATACATACATACATCTATACATATACACATACATACAGACAGACAGACAGACATGCACGCACAACCAACCAAACACGCATACATACATACATACATACATACGTACGCACGTACGTACATACATACATACATACACGCATACATACATACATGCATGCATTCATACGTACGTTCATCCATTCATACGTACATCATTACACACGTATATACATGCACACATGATCTCATACATGCACACATGCATGCACACATCTATACGTACATACATGCGCGCACAACCATACATACAGTTTTGCATACATACATACATACATACATACATACATACATACACGCATACACATGCATACATACATGCGTGCACACATACGTACATGCATCCATACATACATACACATACATGCATGCACACCTCAACTCATACATGAATACCTGCATTCACACTTACATCCGTACATGCATACATGCATACAACCATATATACATTTATACATTCACACATACACACACACATACATATTTTCATACATACATACATACATACATACATGAATACACGCATACACACGTACATACATACATGCGTGCATGCATGCATACATGCATGCATGCATGCACACGTACGTACATACATACGCGCGTACAAACAAATGTACATGCATGCATGCACGCGTGAACCCAACCATACACACATGCACGCATACATACATAACAATCAAACACACATACACAACTACACATACATAACTACTTACATGTATACATACGTGCATACATACATACATGCATGCATACTTACATGCATACACACATTCATGTATACATACATATTCACATGCATACATGCACACATGCGTCCATTCATCCATCCAACCATGCATACACGCATCGACGCATACATGCATACAAGCGTACATGCATGCATGCATGCATGCAAACATACATGTAGGCATGCCTGCATATACACATACACCGTCCATGCATGTATGCATGTATCCATACATACATGCATGCACAAATAGCATCATACGTACACACACGCAAACATCCATCCATCCATGCATCCATACGTCCATCCATTCATACACAGCACACGTACGTACATACATTCATACATACACATGCACGTAAATGCATATGTACATACATGCATACTCGTAGGTACACATACATGCATTCAACCATACGCGCATACATTACATTGCATTGCATTGCAACATGTTACATTAGAAAATACATGCCGTTCCATTGCATGAAATTCCATGCCGATGCATAACATTAAACTGCAATCCATGACATGACATGTCATTCCACTACACTGCAATACAATACATGGCATGCACCGGTACGTACATGCATGCATGCATGCATGCATACATACAGATGTGCGTACGCAATGTGAATGGAGGAGGGCGATAAGGAATGCAAGAGCCGCGACGAGGGACGAGAGAGGATGAGGAGGGAGGACATGGGAGGGGCACTGCATGAGGCTTGAGAACAAGAGGTAGGGCGGTCAAGGCTAGGAGAAGTGAGCGAGAGGAGATGAAACGAGAGGGGAGGGCAGGGCAGGACAAGGAGGAACGGTGGCACGAGCCCAAAGGAGGGGGCGGGCCGACCGCAAAAATGGCGCCAGCCTTCTCCCCCTTGGGGGAATAGGTCCCCACGCGCTCCACGGGGTCCTGCGACTGCGGCAGCCCGCCAGCGCCCACCCCTGCCGCCATCCGTTTCGGCGTCTGCCTCCTCCTCCTCTCCCGCCGCCCACTCCCCTCCTCGTGTTCCGCATCGCCCTCTTCCTCCTCCTCCTCCTCCGCCTCCTCCACCCGTTCTCGTCGTCGTTGTTGCCTTCACTCTTCTCCTCATCCTCGCCCTCCGACCTCTTCCTCCTCCTCCTCCTACTATTCAACGTCCTCGTCATCGTTGTCATCGCCCTCCTCATCCTCAACCTCTGACTGATCCCCATCTCGTCCCTCATTTGTGTATCTCTCCCTACCTCGCCCCCTCCTCCATCGTCCTTATTCGCTTCCTCTCTCTCCTGGTCCCTCCTCGTCCTCGGGCCCCTCCTTCATCCCCCTACAGCCTCTCCCCCCTGCCCCTCCTCCTCTCCCGTCTCCTTGTCGACCTCATCCTTCTCAGCCCTCCTCCACCGCATCCTCTTTCTAGGCCACGTCGTCCTTCTCGCCTTCCTCTTCCACGCGCCCCCGCGTCCTTATCGTTCTCGTCGTCGACCTCCGCCTTGTCTTCATCATTCCCCTCCTCTGACTGTTCTGCCCACTCGTCTCCGCCGCCGACCCCTCCTCCTCTCTGAAGCTTGACCTCGTCGGTGAACTTGTGGGTTCATCACTCAACGGCTTGACGAACAAGGCCGTGCATCCACGGTCGATCCCGCGCCAAAGCAGACCATAGGCAATGACCACGCGCTGCAAATATATGACCCTGCTCGAGATAGAGGCCCAACATGCCGATTGATGCATCGTGGCTAACACTCAACCGCAATCCCCGTACACACAGAACGCGTACGGAAAGGCATCCAGACGACACGCATCTTCTGGAGAAACAACGTGGCGCAACTACATCAATTATGCAGTGGGATTATATTTGGAATTCGGACGACACCCTTCATATGCAACGTTTCACCTCCTGATACGCGCCAGAAATACGCACGGTGTACAATGCGATGCCCATACGACTGCTCTCGAGGCGCAAACTCCCCCTACACATCCCTCATACAACATTTCGCGAGGTCCTTTCGCATCAGGTTCACGTCTCCATCCTGAGACGAACGCGACGGTGCAGCATCCCTTAATCCCAAACATGTAACCACACATGTCCGCGTCAATGCAAGATAATGTAACTACGGACGCGCCGTGGCGTGCAGCACACGCTTGAGGCTGCTCTGCGTGAAGCAGGCGCGTCACTTTGACGCGCATCATGTCACGTGGGTCAGGAACGCATGGAGCATGCCACAATCAATTGTTGGCGCGAGCATCGCGAACATTACGACTGCAATGGCTTCTGCAAGCGTTACTCAAAATCATTGCGATTGCTGCTCAGGCATACGCGACAATGCATCATGTGGGATCCCGAGGCAGTGCCAAATGCAGACGCTTTCACGGATGCAGAGAAGGTGTGCGATCCGATGACGGCATGGACATCCAACGGTAAAGGGCTTATACTCAAACAAACCCTGCGAGACTCTCCCATTGTTACTCCTGACTGGACGTTTAGACTGTAAACACATGCCAGGGGAGAAACTACATCCGCAAGTGTCCTTGGCGCAGGTCAGGAAGAAATCGCCGTCTGCGTTGAACTTCACGAGCGTGACTGGGCGCTCCTCCGCCCGCTCAGCTCAGCGAATCACTCTCAAACGAGCCGAGGCGCACTTGGGCCTTTGGCCCGGGTGTGCTATGAGGAGGAGGAGGAGGAGGAGGAGGAGGAGGAGGTGGAGGAGGTGGAGGAGGGGGTGGAGGAGGTGGAGGAGGAGGAGGTGGAGGAGGTGGAGGAGGAGGAGGAGGAGGTGGGGAGGAGGAGGAGGAGGAGGTGGAGGAGGAGGATGTGGAGGAGAAAGAGGGCTACGTGTGCCCCATCCCTCGCAGACCTCCGCCTACGTTCGCACCCGCGACTGGCTCCTGGGGCCCTGCGAGAGGCCTCGCGTGGCCGAGCCCGAGCGATCCGACACCACCTTGGCCATGGTCCTCCCTCCTCCGACCTCCTTCGTCCTCGAGCTCCTTCACCTCCTTGTCCTCAATTCCCAGTGCCATCCTTCTAACCCACATCGACGTTCTCCTGAACCTCCCCCTATTCCTCTCACTCCATCCTCATCCTCCCTGCCTCTCCCTCCATCCAGTCCTCCTTCTCTCCGCACTCCCTGCCTTCCTTCCTCTCTCCACCCATCTGGCCCTCTGTCCTGTCGTCCCTCCGTGCGTGCGTGCGTCCGTTCTACTCCCAGTTCTGCTCCTCCTCCTCCTCCTCCTCTTCTTCTTCTTCCTCCTCCTCCTCCTCCTCCTCCTCCTCCTCTATCCTCCTCCGTCTCCTCGTCCCCCCCTCCTCTTCCTCCCCCTCCTGCTCCTAATCCTTCTCATACTTCCTCCTCCGCCCCCGCCTCCTCACCATCCCACCCCGTGCTCCTCCACCCTCGCCCTCCCAATCCCTCATCCCCCTCCACTTTCTCTTCGCCTGGGCGTCCCGGGCGGAGGCGCGTGTATGTGGAGCAGATAGGGGTGCATGGCTTGCGCCGCGGTCGGTTGGCTGCCCGAGGGGCCCAGAAGGGGAGGCGGCGGGGCCGCAAGCCCCTGCAACGGAGCCGCCGAGGTACAGTCGGACTTGATTGGAGAGGACACGCGAGATGACAAAAGGCCCTTTCCGCGGGGCACACCGCCATGGGAATGCAGGAGGCACAGGTCGCAAGCCACGGGGCACGAGGGCACCCTTGCTCTGGCAGGGTCGACCTACTAACACGAGCCGCCGAGGTAGTGAGCGAAGCCCAACGATCGCAATTCGGCACCACGCAAGAGTCGGCGCTGGAGAAACGTCCCTTTAGTAAACCTCCCCTTAGCGAAAACGGCCCAGGGCCGAAACCGACGGACCTGGACCCGCAAAACTGACGGCCGCGACGCCCCCTCGCGAGCCGACAACGGCCAATGCCTTAATCGACGCGTCAGGGTAGGAGGTCTACCCACCTCCGAACGATCGCCCTTCGGCACCACGCAAGGAGTAACCGCAAGGGTACGAGTGGCCTCTGTCGCGCGGCTCTTTCGGGGACCACGGGGCGACCACGCGCACGGGCGCGCAGGACGCTACGTACCACCGCACCGCGCTCGGCGCTCGGGTGCCCCAGTCGGCCCGCACCAGAGGTCGCTCCGGCGAGGGGTTCACTCTTCTGGCCACCGCTCGGACGTCCATTCCCTGTGCCTTTGTTCGGTTCCGTGCGTGGCTTTTTCGCCAGATGATCATGGATGCTCCTCGATGGTCCTCGCCGACGGAAAACTGCACACGTCCGAGCGATGCCAAGTCTTTCGGCGGTGGACAGACCTCCCTCTAGTCAACCACCCTTGAAACGGCCCAGGACCGAAACCGACGGACCTGGACCCGCAGGAATGACGGCCGCGACGCCCTCTCGCGAACCGAAGACGGCCCATTCGCGAATCGACGTGTCAGGGTGGGAGGTCTGTCTATCAGCCTCCGATTTGGACGCCCGAAATGGGTACGAAAAAAGAGGGTACAATGCCCATCAACAAATGTTGTTCCAAACCAACAGCGGCCGCTGTTGGGCAGGCGGTCTTCTGCCTCAAACGGACACAGCGGCAGTGGCGCGGACAGCGAGTCCTGTTCAAAATGAACAGGAGCTGCTGTTGGGCATTGGGCCCATTCTTTCCGTATCCATTTCGTTCGTGCCGGTCCGACGCATTCGCGCCGTCGCACAGTGCGTCGACGATGCATCGAAGATGCCTTGGCCGGCATCTTCTCCTGGCCCCCGACGCATACCTCCGACGTCACCAGTGGGGCGCGGGGGCGCAGGCGCTCTCGCCCTCGTCACCGCAGCCTCTGCTCCCTCACCACCGCGGGTCGCTCCCTCGCGGGCCCCAGGGCCCCTCGGACGGCCCCCTGGGCGCCGAGATGGCGCCAACGCGCGCGCGCGCGTCGGGGGCGCGCAAACGTGGATTGGCAATCCGTGGATTTGGCGCGCGGTCGCCAAATCCATGGATCGGGGGGGATTAGCGATCCGTGGATGTGGCGCGCGGTCGCCAAATCCACGGATCGGGGGAGGTGCCCTCCCCAAAGTGCGGCCGGCGCCGCCTCGTTCGGCGGCGGAAATCCGCGATTTCCCATGGAAACGGGACCCGTCGCTAATCCACGCCCCCTTGATCCATACTTGCGATCGCCTGAGCAGTGAGTCTCGCTGCGAGCCAGTCTGTCTGGGCCCCCCCCCGCTGTTGCGAGCTGCCCTGGAAGCTGCCGAGACCTCCCCCCCTGCAGACCTCCACTGGAGCGCGCCCTGGCCAGGCGCGACGTGGCGGACCAGACAGGAGGAGGAGGAGGAGGAGGAGGAGGAGGAGGAGGAGGAGGAGGAGGAGGAGGAGGAGGAGGAGGAGGAGGAGGAGGGAAGGAGGAGGAGGAGAAAGGAGGAGGAGAGGAGGAGGAGGAGGGAGGGAGGAGGAGGGAGGAGGAGGAGGAGGAGGAGCAGGAGGAGGACCAGTGGAAACCCAAGGGTCACCAACGATGTTGGAATTGACCCTCCCTCCAAGCTACCTCTTCACAGGCCCCTACAACGGTTCACTTCCACTGAGGGAACTGCCTCGTTGGAAGACAACAATTTGAATGTCCTGAAACGTGCCAACAACATTATTCTCGGGATTGCAACGCCACGTATCAACATGACTGCTGCGGCTTGACGGTCCAGAACCGTGACAGAACGACAGTTTTGAGGACTTCAACACAGCGAATCAACATGACTATTGCGCCCGCAAAAACCGGAATCTTTCCAAAACGCCATTTCGGCTTCGTTGATCATGGGAATCCTTGAAACTCTTGCAATTTGTTGAAACGAAGCTGCGCGGCACTAAGGCGAGAACCACATGTTGAAAACCACCCGCCCTCAATCCGTGAAACTCTTGCAAATGATTAAAACGAATCTGCGCGGCGCTGAGGCGAGAACCACATTTTGAAAACCACCCGCCCGCAATCCGTGAAGCCCTTGCAAATGTTTACAACGAATGTGCGCGGCGCTAAGGCGAGAGCCACATTTTGAAAACCACCCGCCCGCAATCGGTGAAGCCCTTGCAAAAGATTACAACGAATGTGCGCGGCGCTAAGGCGAGAACCACATGTTGAAAACCACCCGCCCGCAGTCCGTGAAGCCCTTGCAAGTGTTTGCAACGATGGTGCGCGGCGCTAAGGCGAGAACCACATGTTGAAAACCACCCGCCCTCAATCCGTGAAACTCTTGCAAATGTTTACAACGAGTGTGCGCGGCGCTGAAGCGAGAGCCACATGTTGAACACCACCCGCACTCAATCCGTGGAACCTTTGCATTTGTTTAACGAATGTGCACGGCGCTATGAGCCTCGTTTTGAAAACGACCCGCTCTCCATGTGTGAACATGTTGCCACTTTTTGAGCTTCAGAGTCGTAAGTGGTGAGGAAGTCTCAGGCGAAACGGCCGGCCCGCCCTGATAACTGGCCTCGGGGTGCGACAGGGAGGAGTTATCTATAAGGAGAAGGAATGGAGGTGGGGGGACGAGGCTTCCCCCGCGCAGGCCCCCTGCGGGGGGCCCAGCAATGCCGCGAACTTCCACAAACTCCCCCCCCCCACTGGCTGCTCAACCTGGAGCCCTAGGGCACGGCACGTCTCGACCCCACGGCCTGCCCAGCGTCTGAGGAGGAGGAGGAGGAGGAGGAGGAGGAGGAGGAGCAGGAGGAGGAGGAGGAGGAGGAGGGGGAGGGGGGGAGGAGGGGGAGGAGGATGGGGAGGGGGCGGAGGAGGAGTGTGTTTAATTGTTGAGCAGAGACCGACCGTCCGGGCATCCCTATAGTCCTACCACGGAATGTTCTTAGAACCCAGAATGTTTTAATAGCAATAACCGTGTTCTTATAACATAAGCCCGGTGTGCTAAAACAAGACAGTCTCAGCCAGAAATGTTCTAAGAACATTTCGTGGAAACCACAAAAGGTTCTTAGAACATCCTCTGGTAGGCAGGACGCTTCGCCACTGCTTGAAATTTGTCGTGCAAGATCCGCCTGCAGGGGCACACGCCCGACCTAAACGCAGACACCTGTTGTCCTGACGTTTGCGAGCGGGCGCTCTGCGGGGTCGTGGAGCCCGCCGGCGGCCCTCCTTCGGCCGTGGCCCGCCGGGAGGAGGAGAAGGAGGAGGATGCGGGAGGGAGAGGTGGGAGGAGGGAGGAGGAGGGAGGAGGAGGGCGAGAAGGTGGGCGGAAGAGGCGGCGGCGGAACTCTGCAGGTACACGAGTCTGAACGCTGGCCTTCAAAGAATTAGCCTGACAGCTCAAGTGCCTAGAGTGCGCTATATTTAGGGGTTCTTCGCACGTTGGGGGGGGGCTCAAGCGCGCCTCGGCAAACCCAGCTCGGAGATATCCCTGGGGCCAGGCCGCGCTTCATACGCGACAAAATCTGGGTGGCCACTAACATTTAAGCAGGCGACAGGGACCGAGCCAAAAAACGAGTTTTTTAAAGACCCGAGGACGCGTCCAGAAAGAAAAAGTTCGAACCCAGGAGGGCACCAGGGGAAGACGAGCGGACGAGACAGCGCGACAAAATTCGTGGCGCTCACCCCCCGCCACCGCCAAGCCCAACAGCCTGAAAGACGGAGCCACCAGGGCCCAGGACCGCCCTCCAAGCCGTCAGGCGAGGGGAGAGGCACAGGTCAAGCGCCGGCGCCGCCGTCGCCACTCTCGGTGCTCCTGCGAGTTCCCCGAATTAGTCGAAAGATCGCATCATCGAGAGAGGAGGACGAGGTGAGGCGAGGGCGAGGAGGGGGAGGTGGCGGCAGGTCCCCGCGTAAATCAGCACGCGCGGCTGCTCCAGGTTGGTGAGCACCACGGGCGCGGTGGGCAGGGGCAAGCGAGCGAGCCCTCTCAGAAACTCGGGAACCAGTGCTCACTCCCCGTCCCTGACCTCGAGCGCCGCTGAAATCGGCCTGCACATCTAGAACTGGTCGGCAGTCTCGTCGAGTGCTAGCTGGAGGAGTCGCTCCTGATGACTCTTGGGCGGCGTGCCTTTCTTCACCGTCGCGCCGAGCTGCACCATCGCTGCGACCACCTCCTTCTGAACGCCTGTCCCACTGGCCTCCAGGAAGATCTTCATCCTGGACCTGTCGTGGGTGTAGGCCACTCGACAGTACTTCACCTCGTCGGCCAGCGAGTCGTTCGTCTTGTCGGGGTCGCTCCTGATCGCATCCATGTAGGCCTTGATCTTCGCCGCATTCTGAGCACCGACTTTCTCGCCTTGCTGCTGCAAGGCCCCGGCGGAAGAGGAGGAGGGAGGAGGGGGAGGGAGGAAGGGGGAGGAGGGGAGGGAGGAGGAGGAGGAGGAGTAGGAGGGCGAGGAGGAGGAGGGAGGAGGAGTAGGAGTAGGAGTAGGAGTAGGAGTAGGAGGAGGAGGAGGAGGAGGAGGACCAGGAGGAGGAGGAGGAGGGCGAGGAGGGCGAGGAGGAGGAGGGCGAGGAGGAGGGCGAGGAGGAGGAGGAGGAGGATAAGGAGGAGAAGGAGGAGGGCTGCCAGCCGACCGCGGGGGGAGCTCGAGCGGACCGCGCGCGGGGTGGGGGAAAGGCCGGTGCGCACGTCTGCGGAGCGCGCGCGCCGCGGGGAGGGGCGGCGGGGCGGGGCCTCGAGCCGCGCGGGGCGCGCGGAGGGAGCTGCTGCTGCCGGCCGCGGTCGTCGTCGCCGCCGTCCTCGGCGCCTTGTCTGACGCTACGCGGGCTCAGCGCAACAGCACGGAGCGTTATGCCATCGGCGCTTGTTCTGCTCCTCCTCCTCGCCCTACTCCTCCTCCTCCTTCTCCTCCTCCTCCTCCTCCTCTTCCCGCTCCTCCTCTCCTCCTTTCTCGTCATCCTCGCTCCCCTCGGAACCCTTCGTTCTTTCCTCATCCTCTCCTCATCCGTTTCCTTCTCCTCCTTCTCCGCGTCAACTGCCTTCTCCTTCCACTCTTAATTCATTCATGCCCACCTCCACCACAACTGTCCCTCCTCCCCCGGGACCTCCAAGACTGCTAACACCCGACGCTGTGCCCAGAAGGACAACATGGATTGCCAGCAGGTCCCTTCCAAGTCACTGAGCACTTCTAGAGGCCAAGGCTCTGGTTTCACAGATTGGCTGGGCGATCCCTGTCGCGTCAGTTATCCAAAGACCTCGGGAGCGCGGTTCAGAACCCGAACTTCCAACGTGCTCTAAGATGGTCCATCGGCCCGCCCTTGGGCTCCCCAGGGGGCCTCTCGGGCGGGTGGTAATGGGGGGTGGCTCCAGTGGGGGGTGAAGGGGGTGAAGAGGAGGGGCGCCTTTAGGGTCATTTTCTTCAACCCCCCATTTGGGTCGGCGGCCACCCCCCAACACCTCCCGCCCGAGCCTCTTGAATTGCCTTGGAGGCCCTTGGGTCCGGCCCAGGAAGTCAAGGTCATAGGAACACAATCTTGTGCTGATCGGTTCTCGCGCACTCGCCCTTCTTGGTCATCGGAGTGTGCAAGACGCCCCCCAGGATCGCCACAAGACAGCCCCCGGTAGCCCAAAATCAAGCCCCCGAGAGGTCCCCGAGAAGGCCCCGCAGGGAGGCCACGATGGAAGCCTCAGAGGGGCCTTTAGGATTCTCCATATCTGAGGAAGGTGGTGTTCAGACTCTGGGGCGCCCCCAGACTCTGAGGGCTGGGGGTTGCTCCGACTCTGTCTCTCGTTGTCCGACTGCGTCTCCTCGCTCCTGCCCCCTGCCTCCTTCTCCTGGTCCTCCTCCCTGTTTCTCTTCCTACTCCCTCTTCGCCTGCTTTTCCCAGTCCTTTTCTTCCTCTTCCTCCTCCTTCCTCCTCTTGCTCCTCCTCCTCCTCCTCCTCCTCCTCCTCCTCCTCCTCCTCGGTCCCCCTCCTCCTCCTCCTCATCCTCATCCTCCTCGTCCCCTCCTCCTCTCCTCCTCCTCCTCCTCCTCCTCCTCCTGCTCTCCTCCTCCTCCTCCTCCTCCTTCCCTCCGCCTCCGCCCGCCTCCTCCTCCTCCTCCTCCTCCTCCTCCTCCTCCTCCCAAAAGAGGCCTCTAAGACGCCCAAGATGGCCTCCAAGACGGCCCTGAAGCGCCACAAGAGGACCCCACATCGGTTCAGAGAAGCCTCCAAGACGGCTTCCGACGGCGTCAGACCCGTCAGACGGGCCAGGAACGCGTTAAGACGGCCAAGGAGAGGCCCCCAAGACGCCCCCAAGGCCCCCGAGAGGTCTAAGGAGGCCCCCAAGAGGCTTCCAAGAGCCCCCTGGGAAGCCCCCAGGAAGCTCCACAAGAGTGCTCCAAGAGGCTCCCAAGAGGCCTCCTCCTCCTCCTCCTCTTCCTCCTTCTCCTCCTCCTCCCTCTCCTGATCCTCCCCCTCAGCCTCCTCCAAATGTTCCCCGAAGAGTTTCCGGAGCGGCTGGGGGAATGCATTATCAGATAGCTTGGCGAAGCTGGGGCCCAACGTTTGGCCACATAGGCGCTTCTCAACAAGGCTTGGGGCGGCGGTGATTCGCCGTAGGCGTCTTGGATCCGCCGCCCCCTGTGCTTGCCACAGGGGTGGACGGCGTGCCAGACATGTTGCTGCTTTTGTTATTTTCGAACCCTTCCCAGTGGCCTTCGGCCCAGACCGCCTGCCCCTCGGAAGGACCAGAGGGTGCGGCCCACATCGCCACCAAGACGGCCCAAATGGCCCAAGATGGCCACCAAAATGCCTCCAAGGCGGCTAGGATTGCCCCAAGAGAGCCCAAGACGGCCCCAACATGTCTCCAAGACGGCCCAAGATGCACCCGAGGCGTTCCAAGATGGCCCCAAGATGGCCCAGGACGAGGCATTTAATGCAGTCCTCCAAGGGGACCTGCAATGGAGAAGGAGGAGGAGGAGGAGGAGGAGGAGAAGGAGAAGGAGGCTTAGGAGGAGGATGAGGCGGAGGAAGAGGAGGAGGAGGAGGAGGAGGAGGAGGAGGAGGAGGAGGAGAAGGAGGAGGAGGAGGAGGAGGAAGAGGAGGAGGAGGAGGAGGAGGAGGAGGAGGAGGAGGAGGAGGAGGAGGAGGGGGGTAGGAGGAGGAGAGGGAGAGGGAGGAGGAGGAGGAGGAGGAGGAGGAGAAAGGAGGAGGAGGAGGAGGAGGAGGAGGAGGAGGAGGAGGGGGAGGAGGGGAAGGGGGACGAGGAGGAGGAGGAGGAGGAGGAGGAGGGGAAGTGGAGGGAGGGGGAGGAGGGGGGAGGAGGAGGAGGAGGAGGGGGGAGGAGGAAGAGGAGGAGGAGGAGGAGGAGGAGAAGAAGAGGAGGAAGGGAAAGAGGATGAGGAGGAGGAGGAGAGGAGGGGGAGGAGGAGAACGAGAACGAGGAGTGTGTTGGAGGCACAGGAGGAGGAGAGAAATAGGAGGAGGAGGAGGAGGAGGAGGAGGAGGAGGAGGAGGAGGAGGCGGAGGAGGAGGAGGAGGAGGAGGAGGAGGGAGAGGAGGAGGAGGAGCAGCAGCAGCAGGAGGAGGAGGAGGAGCAGCAGGAGGAGGAGGAGGAGCAGGAGGAGGCGGAGGAGGAGGAGGGCGACCAGGGCGAGGGCGATGAGGAAGAAAAAGGCGAGGAAGAGGAGAGGGAGCCGACGGACAGGAGGTAACGAGTCAGATGGAGGCTCTCGCCGACGCGCAGTCCCCATTCGCTCAGCGACGTGCCCAACCCAATCGCGGGGCCGGGCCACCGCCAAAAGAGCCTCGGGGCGAGGTCCTGCGCCACCGTTTTGGAGGGTGGCGCGCAGGGGGGTTGCCAGAGGCGAGGGGCGGAGCCCTCCCCCGGGCACAGGCCAGGCGGCGGGGCTGGGATGCGGCGCGAGCGCACGCCTGTCCATCCCTACCCCTTTCGCAATCTTGATGAGGGGCGGATGCGGGCGAGCGTTCTCCTCGTCCTCCGTCATCCTCGCCCTCACGTGGGGGGGCGATGCGGGCGGCGGGGATGCTGCTCCTCGACCTCCTTCGGATCCGTCCTTGCCTGCCCCCGTCCTCCGCCTCCTTCTTCTTTCCCCCCTTTCTCTTCGCCTGTGTCTCGCCTGCGAGAATCCCACAGGCGCATGCCGCACTGGGGCCGCCAGCTGGACGTAAACGGCAACGAACAGGCGCAGAAGGCGCCAAAAACTGGCATGCAGAGATCGCCGAGGGCTCGTTGACCAACGGTGATATTGGCCGAATTCAGATCGAATTCCATGAGACGCCCCCAGCGCAGCGCAATGCAGTTTCCGAAAACCCCGCGAACAGTCGGGGGCGACGATAGGGGGCGAATAGCTCAGGATTAGGTCGGGCATGTCCCCCTACAGGGGGATTTTCGACGACAGAAATAATGATAGTCAGAACATGCTCAAAAATCAAACAAACGTGCTAAAACTAACCCTGGCGACGTACCCAACCCTTGCGCAATGCGGGGCAGAAGTACATCAGGATTGCTACAACGGGGGCAATGACGTAACATGGACGCATGTGCAGCAATCGGAAGGCTCGCAGGCCCCCGATCAAGATCTAAGGGCTACGTAATGACAAATCACCCCCGTTGGCTGTGCCACGCGCCGCTGCACCCAACGTATCCCACAGCAGCTCTTGAGAGCCCCCGCGGGATACGTGTAGGCGCAACGTTATGGCCATCGCCCGGCAGATGGTCTGTTTCACAAATCACCCCCGTTGACTGTGCCATGCGCCCGTTGCCCCTAACGTATCCCACAGCAGCTCTCCAGAGCCCCCCCCGGGAGGGAACGGCGAAGTCCGGCTCAGATCCCCGCGGTGCCTCGCTCCGCAGGACCCACCAGCAGCCCTCGAAAATGGCGACAATGTCGCAGATCGCAGCCCCCCAGGGACGGCGAGGTCCCGCTCAGATCCCCGTGGTGCCTCACTCCGCAGGACCCACCAGCAGCCCTCGAAAGTGGCGACAGTGTCGCAGATCGCAGCCCCCCAAGGCCGGCGAGGTCCCGCTCAGATAGATCCCCGCGGTGCCTCACTCCACAGGACCCAAGAGCAGCCCTCGAAAGTGGCGACAGTGTCCCAAATCGAAGCCACCCAGGGACGGCGAGGTCCCGCTCAGATCCCCGCGGTGCCCGCAGGACCCACCAGCAGCCCTCGAAAGTGGCGACAATGTCGCAGATCGCAGCCCCCCAAGGACGGCGAGGTCCCGCTCAGATCCCCGCGGTGCCTCACTCCGCAGGACCCACCAGCAGCTCTCGAAAGTGGCGACAATGTCGCAGATCGCAGCCCCCCAGGACGGCGAGGTCCCGCTCAGATCCCCGCGGTGCCTCACTCCGCAGGACCCACCAGCAGCCCTCGAAAGTGGCGACAATGTCGCAGATCGCAGCCCCCCAGGGACGGCGAGGTCCCGCTCAGATCCCCGCGGTGCCTCACTCCGCAGGACCCACCAGCAGCCCTCGAAAGTGGCGACAATGTCGCAGATCGCAGCCCCCCAGGGACGGCGAGGTCCCGCTCAGATCCCCGCGTGCCTCACTCTGCAGGACTCACTCTGCAGGACCCACCAGCAGCCCTCGAAAGTGGCGACAGTGTCGCAGATCGCAGCCCCCCCAGGCACGGCGAGGTCACTCAGTCCCGCGGTGCCTCACTCGCAGGACCCACCAGCAGCACGCAATGTCGCAGATCGCAACCCCAAGGACGGCGAGGTCCCGCTCAGATCC